GTGTCCCGATGCACTTAACATATAGTGTAAATCTTCAGTACTTGTAGGACAGTGACCAACTGCATATTCCATTATAAAGAGAGCAACGTTAGTCCCTTTTAACTGGATTTAGTGCAACACAGTATTCCAAATATTGAACAAAAGTCTTTGTATTCACCGTTTTTTGATTAATATTTTTTTTAAACGTGGCACTAGTGCTTCTTTTCTCTCTTCTAACTGGTATGAAAAAAGTCATATTATGATGTATTTATTAGACACAGAACCAAAGTGCAATTATTCACCCCTACTGTCGAATTCTGTTCTTTTGCTCCAGCTCCTACAAAGACAGTAATTACAGTATACCCTCACCTTATGCCACAGTTTACATTTCTTTTATTTTCAAAAGAAAGCTACAGAGGATTTTTAGAAGAAAATAGTCTGCAGCAGTTGTTTGGCAGTAGCATTTCTCTGGAGGATAGGGTGTTTTTTGGAGAGGTTGGGAGGGTATGACCCTCACAGTCGCTGCACACATTCCACACCCTGGGCTGTAGACGGTGTGTTTGAACGCAGGCTGGAGGTCAGGTATTCAGGTCAGCCCCTCTCATCTAAGCTGAAGGTTAAAGCATCTATAAACACTGTTTGCTTTCTGCAAACGTCGTTTCACCGTCTTCTGTTTGTCAGGTCTTTACTGTGAGCGTGCAGGCCAGGACTTGCTGAAAGTCTGTCTGAAGGTGGCCATGCACTAGTTCAGAATGGTGTTAAAGTGGTAGTAATAATGCTTTATAATTGTATGAATCGTGTTGTGTGTGTGTGTGTGTGTGTGTGTGTGTGTGTGTGTGTGTGTGTGTGTACACACAGTACATACGTGTGTGTGTGTGTGTGTATATATATATATATATATATATATATATATATATATATATATATATATATATATATATATATATACACACACACATTATATATATATATATATATATATATATATATATATATATACACACACACATTATATATATATATATATATATATATATATATATATATATATATATATATATATACCGTATGTATGTGTGTAGTGTAAGGTTCCTTTAAGATCTGTAATTGCATGGTTGTGTATATATTTTTTCTTTTTAATCCCATAATACCATACATTCACAGAGAGACTGAGCTATAGGTTTAATTAAAGCTGCTGTTCTCCTGCCTGGTGTGGCAGACAATAGCATGAAGACGCCATGTTTCTTGAAGTGATAGACACTGTGTGTATGAGTGGACACTGCAAACCTGATTTTGTTCTTTCTTTCCATGCAGACTGTTTGCTCATTCGCCTGTAATGAATGTGGTGATAAAATCCACTTGCATTAACAGATTAACCAACATACCTGAAATGTAGACGACAGTACCAGCGTGTTGATCTTCTATTAGTCATACATTTACATTACTCCTAAAATAGAAATCTGCTAGTTATTTAATTTATGACTTGTCAGTTTAAATATGACGGATTATTTTCACTGCATAGTGCCTTGAATAACTGGACCTTTCTGAAATTTATTTATTTATATATTTATCTATTGAGTACTCAAAATTGTACTCTTTCCTGATGAGTGACTGGATTTTTTGTTTTTATTTATTTATTTATTTATTTTAAGGAGAAGACCTTTGTGTATTATGTAAATGTTGTTAGTTTGAGTGTACTGTTCACTCGTTCATAAAATCTATATATGGAAACTAAGATGGAAATACAGCCCAATTTGAGTTGTGTATTTGTGATGTCAGAGAAGCCAACACATTTGCATTTATTTTAATTTTAAGGGCTAAAGAGATATGAAAATGGCTATGTACTTCAAAATCTTTTTTTTTTCTCTCTCAGAAACAATAGTTGGTTTTCCCTCCAGAGGTTTTTTTTAATTTTTAAAAATGCGCAAAAACAAAGTGAATTCGAAATGACTAAAATAATTTTAAAAATCAACAACCAGTCTTTACACTAGTATGAGGTGGAAAAGTAATTGCTAAAGCCAAAAAAAAGGTTTTTCCAAAAAACAATGACGTATCAAGCCGTATCAAGGACAGTCCAATCATGACGTATAACTTTTTGAAGGTTACTTTCGATATTCTGAAATAGCTAATACAAAGTTTGGCTGAAAACTGACTCTACATGATGTGCTTCCCGAATTCTTTGGTGCATTTGAATTCCCAGATGGCACAGAGATTTCAGCCCTCATTAGTAGGGCTATTGCTTGTCCTGATAGCATCACTCGGCTGCAGACAACTCGGCCATAAAGAGATGCCAAATGGCTATAAAGATAATACTACCTAATAAACAAAACGATTCCATCTTGCTCATTTCAATGCAGTCCCTAATCATGGTAGCCTACATCTTCTAAAGTTTCCTCGCATAACTATAGTGGATGAAAACTGACTTAATTCTCTCTCTTTTCTGCTTGGATTTCATAAATGTGCATAACATTCGCGAAGCATTTGAATGGAAACCTGGCTAATGGCATCCACATTTAGCACCAAAAATAAGATGAGCTTTTCTCAGATGAGGGGACCAACAAAAGTAGTTCAAAGTTCTTCTAAAAATCTTTTTACATTGACTTCCGTTACAAGGTAATAATGTTTTTTACTTGAGGGAGACAAGTACAAAAGAGCAGCTCTACCCCTTTTACCTTATTACAGGCGCTAAAGAGCTGCTGCACCTTTTAGTGAATCGTGACACTTTTTAACATCAGAACAGGGTTTGCGATGATGTGAAAGGTTAGTAAATCTGCCTCTTGATGTTTGTTAGTCGCTGGCTGTGGCTTGTTGCACTGTTTTGTTAGAGTGGACAGTGGGCCTTGATACTTCCTGCAGGCTTTTTTATTTTTTTGATTTTATTTATTTTTTGTGAAGTGTTTAGTGCCTGCCTGCTAATGCAGGTGTTCTGAAACATCAGTGTGATATGAAGTGTGCCTTGTCTGGCTAAAAATATTTTGTGGTTTGCCACACTGAGAAGGGCAAAGAAGCGGTTGTTGTAATAGTGAACGCTGTATATCCAGCAACGTGTGAAAATGAGGGGTGCAGGCTGAAGTTGAACTTTTTATGGGGTGGTGTTTGTATTCAGTTTAGATTTATTTGTGTAGCACTTTTTACAGCAGGTGTCCCAAGGCAGCTTTGCAGAAATCTGGGTTAAAGCTCTTTTACATTCTATAGCCAAGTTTAGTGTAATGAGCGGAAAAATGCAGCACATCTTGTTTGTATTGGTTTAAAGCCCATGTGTCAAACTTAAGACCTGCAGGCCCAGGGCACAACCACAAGCCTTGCATTTTCTATTGTTATCACCCTGAGCTGCACTACAGTCCCCAGCATGCACTGCCACATAATGTGCGCTCTGCCCCGCTTTCTCCAACAACAATCTAATGGTCAGCGGTGACACAAAGAGAAAAGATGTCTGTGTAAGCTAATGTAGTGTACTGTTTTATATAAAACAATTTATTCTTATTTAAAATTATTTTTGTATAGTGCAGGTATTCAGTGCCTGTTTTGCTGTTGCAGTTCTGGTATATTTTGAATAAACAATGACCAGGTGGGGTCATGGCAAAATATTAGGTAAAATATAAAGAAAAACACAGCCGGCCCACGGATTTGTTGTGATTTTTTAAAGATATCCCTCTTAGTGGTTGAGTTTGATACCCCTGGTCTAAAGTGATGGTGTTGTATGGTTTATATCTTGGCTGAACATTTTGCAGTACCTTTGACTTTGCATGACTTTGCTTGACTTCATGTCTTTTTCTTTTATTCTTTTCACAAATTGGAATATGCAGTTGTTTTGTTAACTATCGGAGGGGAAAAGAACAATTTTGTGATCATTTTGTGAGGTTTTTTTCTTAAAAGTGAAAGTAGCATTACTGAGTCAGGAGAGTAAAAACACTAAAATATTGTGAGCTTGTGCTGCTGCAAGTCACCCTGTAAAGTCTGAAATAATCATTTAAAAGTCAGAAGTCTGATTTGGCAGAAGTTTTTCGGACCACGTTGTTTGTCTTTACGTATTAACGTCACACACACAGGCTCAAAAAGAAGGTCCGGCTCAATGTTTAGGTCTCAAATGATCTAAAAATCAACATTATACTGATGATATGATGACAATAAATAAATCACTTACAACATGCTTACAATCTTCAATTTATCCACTCAGGAAAGGTTACAAATCATTCTTTTGGGCGGTGTATGCAGTTAACCTTTTCCACCAACGGGGTTTCCAAATCCCCAAAACCTATTTAGTGTGCATAAGTGATTAAAGGATGCAAATCCAGATAGATGCAGTCCCAATTACTACATTTTCTAAATGTCCCAGTATCTGCAGACATGAACGTGAAAAATATCAGACTTTGGCATTGGTCAACAGTTACCGTATTCGTGCATCCCTAAAAAGGAAGAAAGCTTGTGATATGTACATTAATGTAAGTGATATGGCTTTGCTTTCCTAGAAATGTTTTAACATTTTTGTTTTTTCATCGTTTGTTTATTATTTTTCATTGTTTGGTTTATTTGTTTTCTCTGGTGTATTTCCTGGATGAGTAGTTAAAAATACGTTCACTGGCTTTTCTGGGACACCTCTCTTGTATCATGTATCACTTGTTGTCCATAACAGATCCACCTACCATGTAGGTGCACTTAGTTTTACAATTATGGATCAGACTCCATCTGTTTCTCTGAATCATTTATCTCCTCCTCCCATTTTTTTTACCTATTCATCAATGATCGGGAGAGAGAATTAGAGAGGACCAGTTTAATTTTGAACAGATTTCTAAATAGTATGAAGTATGTACACAATGCTTTATTCACTTTTAATGTTAAAATAATAGACTGTTACAGGCATTAATACAGTACAGTACATTTTCCACTGTCACATCTGGGGGTTTCCCCAGAGTGAAAAATCCTGTCAGTGTGAGACATACCCATTGAAGCGTTCTCCAAACTGCGTAAATGTCCCCATTTTCTTCTCTCTGAAGTTTTTCTTCTTTTTTCCTCATTTCCAGGGCGTACTCCCTTGTTGACTCCAGCCAGGTGTCCACCTTCCTCATCTCCATCCTACTTATCGTCTATGGCAGCTTCAGGTGAGTTTTTAGAGCCTGTGCTCTCTTCAGATGAGTTGTTGAAATGCATGTATCTGAAACAAAAACGGTTGTATGTTGATTAAAACATTCACTCCTAACTATTGGTCACTCATCAGAATTTTTATTTCTTCTTCACAGTGTAAAGTTGTTATTTGAAGCAACTGTTAACACCTGCAGCAGTTATTGACACAGAAGTGTGAATATCTGTGTCTTCCTCTTCCATATTATGAATGTTATGCTGTGAGATTTTGGCTTAATGTGTTTCTTACTTGGTTTGAGCTCATAAACAACTGGGCAGTTGTGGCTACACACACGAGGTTAAACACAGCAGACAGAAAACATCTCCGACGCAAACCCTGTACACTTCCTCTTGCCACTTCCACTTTGGGAAAACCCTTGTTGCAAGACTGAGAATCTGTTTTTTTAAGAAGTAATTACCTGCTCATTGCTTTTTAGTTCACATTTACTTTCAAGGTACTTGCTTACTTGGTATGTTGTAGGGCTGCATGATACATCGAATGTAATAACTATCGAAATATATCCCTATGCGATACTGGCTACAATATGCAAATGGGCCAACCAATTTGTAAATATTTTGTTTACTGTGAGCCTCCTGACCTATCACAGATAGTTCTATGTGAGTTTGAATTTATGCTGTTGTAGTGGAAGAAAAGATGTGCAGTGTAGTATAGCAATATTTTGCATTGATACTCAAAGCTAAGGAAAAAGGTTTTCAGGAATATTGCTTTGTTGGTTTCACAATTCTATTTATCTTTATAAAAGTACAGAATTTTCTGTTTTGGAGGTCTAATTTCCAGTTAAGTAATAATTGGAGCATGTCACATTGTAGTACTTAGCATATCACAAATCTTTAAAAATCATCTAATCACATCGTATATTGACATGATCATAAGTGATTGGCACCTCTACAAGGCATTCACATAATTCAATAAACATAAATAATTATGGTCAAATTAATGTTATAGTCTTTACCTGTGCTACACTAACAATTCTCCTGTATGTTTTAGTATGTTGAAAGACAAACCACAGTCGCAGTCTTAAGAAGTATAACCTAATCTAGTGTTTTATTTACATCGTAAAGTCCTGAGTACTAATTTGTAAAACATTCAAATGCAAAATTTGATAAGTTGCTGCATGTAAAAAATCTTGTTTGAGTAGTAATTTCCAAAACATGAATTTGACATAAAAATGTGTGTAGTTGAATGTAGAGATGAAACGGTAACCGGTTTCACGGTAAACCGCGGTAAAATTAATGACGGTTAGTAGTACCGTTTGAACTTTAAAGTATCGTTAAAACCGCGGAGATATTTCAGCCTTCTATGAAGACCAAGTCAGACGTTTGATCATGTTTTGGGTTTTATAAGGATGCAGAAGGAAAGTTAATTGAAGATGACCACCCTGTCTGCAGAACTGGCCAAAAGAAAATAGCGGCGAAAGGGGGCAACACATCAAACCTTACGAGTCATCTTCGCGACCACCACTTTCATTAAGACCCACCTCAGAGTTGGTGGAGATTTAATTCTCTATGCAGGGAAATCCCTAATTATTGTAATTATTAGTAATAATAATAATAATAATAATAATAATTACAGCAGTAATAATAATAATAATTTACAGTAATAATAATAGTAATGGTGAAACACATTTCAGTTTGTGTATCAGTATTTATTTATTTATTTATTTTACTTTTCAACGCTTTTGAACAATATCGCGATAATATCAATAATCGTGATAATTCTGGTCATGATAATCATGATATGAAATTTTAATATCGTTTCATCTCTAGTTGAATGCAAGTTTTCTACCTTATTTACAGCAAGAGTGTCTGTCTGCTACATTACATTGGACACTTTGTGAACACTTCTGTTTGTCGTATGCAAATGCTGAGAACTTAACCTCTTTTTGTAGGCTCCCTAGTGGCCACCAGTCCACTGGTACACTCTCCAAAAAAAAAAGGTACAAAACTGTCATTAAGGCAGTACCCCTCATCACTGGGGTGCTAACCTCAAGGGAACATCTCCGTACCTTTAACCAGGGAATATAATTGTACCATAATCCATTGATATTATATTTTTTTCAGCTGTATTGACTACACACACCCCGTCTCGTCTCCAGGCTTTTTTGCTTTATTGTTCTGTTTTAAAACATTAGGTTATGAAAAGGTACAGATATGTACTTCTCACCTTGAAAAAAAATCCTTAAGGTTCACAATTGGACCTTTAAACAACTGTTGTACCTTTTGAGGGAACATTTACATTGTTTGTATCTTGATGAACGAAAAATGTACCTTCACTGTACTACTTCTTACAGTGTATAATGGAAAACGACTCACTTTTTAATCCTATAGTCAAATATAATATTTGTTCTTCATACCTCTGTTATCAAATGAGTTAGAACATTGTTTTCTCTCTGAGTGTGAAATGTTGTGACTGTGTTGAGCCGCTAGTGAGCAATGAGGGAGAAGGGGAGGAGTGAGACCCCCTGCTGTGAAAACAGTTCGTACCACTCCACAAAGACAGCTGTGCCAAGACCAAACGGACAACTGCAGCTTTCTTCATATCAAAACAGTCTTGTTCAACTGAGACAATAAAAAATAGCAGTTACTCACTAAAAATGCTTTCACAAATGTCGACTTGCTTGCTCACCTACAAAGATGCAAAACCGATTTGCTTCCAGTTTTGTACATCGTACATATTTCCATCAAAATATATTCCATCGGCTTTATTGCAGAAAAACATCCTCTAAAACAGGTGGAAACTGCATTTTAATGCTTATTTTTGTAAATTAAGGCACTAGTATGTTGGTTACACTTGAATTGTTGGATAAAACACATCTCTGATTAAACAGAGAAAGTGTTCTTTTGAGGTATTATTTGTAGCTAAAAGTAAAAATTGAAGCATATTGCAGTGTCATCGCACAACATGAATCATTAAAAAATACAATAGAGCATTATTGTGTGTCAAGTATCATGGTATTTTAATTTCCACTCCAACAAGGCATTCACATGATCCAACAAACGTGAATAATTCGAAATTAATACAGGCTAATCCTTGACCGTGTCACATTAAGGAGTTTGGATTAAGGAGTAAGGATTTTGAATATAACAAAACAAAGTCATACATGCTGTAGCAATATGTAACAAAATTATCGCAGTATCGCAATGCAATATTTTGCCAGTATCGTGTATTTTTTTTATATACACACACATACATACATACATACATACATACATACATACATACATACATACATACATACATACATACATATGTATGTATGTATGTATGTATGTATGTATTTTGAACCATTTGCAGTATAAAATTAGATGTTGATGTATTGCCCAGGCCGACCTCAGTACATCTCAGATTTTCCCAAATGGTGAAGAGAAGTGAGTGACGGTGAGTCATAATTAAACCGACCTGCTTCCAGATCATTCTGAGACTGGAAAAGCTAGTCATGCTGAGGTCAATCTGAGCTTAGTATGTACCCAAACATTTAAGGAGCAATTTTTACTGTGTGATTCTAGCTTAATTCCCAAATTTCCCTTTTTCTAACAAATGTGAAAACCATATACTTGCACCCATTAAACATGACTCACCAAAACAACAAATTGAAAATGGAGCCTGACCAAGGAAAACTGTCACTGATTTTAAGAAACCAAAATTTTAAACCAGCAATATCAGCAGATTAGTTTTACATACTCAAAAAATAAAAGACTCCAGTAGTTTTAAACAGTGCTTTACCGACTAATAAGACTGTCAAATGTCAACTCTGAATTGTTGTTTTTTTAACACACCGATACCTGATCCTTGAGTGTTGTCCGATACCAAGTACCATATATAACAAATTAATTAAGTTTAAAATATTTTATTTTGCAAAATAGCTAAAGATAGAGGTGGACTATATAAAAACTTCTGGTCTGTACATGTAAGCACACTGCAGCTTCTCTGGCTCGCAAACAGGGTGCTAAATGCTGTCTGTAGCAGTGGTTGAGCCACAGATTTCTCAGCTTAGTTGAAGCAAAAGGCTGCCGGACCCTGCTGCTGCATGATGCAACTGATTGCAGGCGGTGTAAGTGGACACACGGGCCCAGCTAAAAGGCTGATATGCTAAAGGCTAAACTAAGAGTAAAGGTAATCATTAACTAAAGAGACTGGTGGTTTCTGCCATCTATCTCTCTAACATTTACTCCCTCAATAGCAACCTGGACTAACATTAACTCTGACCGTATGTGACTACACTGCGGGAGATTTTAGACATGTCTGTAAAACCAGTGGCTTGGTAAGAATTCCAAATTGCCATAATTATCTATTGTCTACTGCCTTTAGACAAAATGCTAGCGTTACAGATTTTGCCATGAGTGTTTTTACTTCTACTTGTCAGCGCATTCCAGCAACAGTTAAGTTTGGTCTACTAGCACGCATGTGCAATAGAAATCGCTTTGTGTTATGTTATAGGTATTGGTATCCCTGTCGCCAATATCAGTGCTGTGTTTAAATGCCAGGAAAATTAGGTATCAGTGGAACCCTAGGTTTTTTTTTTGTTTGTTTGTTTGTTTGTTTGTTTGTTTGTTTTTTGTGTTCAAGTTTAAAATTACTGTATTACTGTAATACAGTTGAGCAACTGATGACTGTCTCAGGTGACAATCTCTGTTAAAAGTGCTATAAGAAAAAAAAAACATTAAAATCAGAGATGATCAGTTTTACTTGCATCAGAGGTGTTTTCACTGTAATCTGAAACTTCAAAATGATTTTGGAGCTTTATCCTCAGTCATTTTTTACATGCAATAAATTCGTGAAACTTTAATATTAGAATTTTTTTTAGACAATAGACTTTTACTAGGCCAGGGGTGTCTAATGTTATCCATAAAGAGCTGGTGTGGCTGCCGGTTTTCATTCCAAACAAGTTGGCGGACACCTGCATGCACTTGTTTAGTCAGACGGTCTCAGTCTTCTACAACTGATCAGGTGTGCTTCTGTTTTATTGGGAATGAAAACCTAGAGACACACTAGCCCTTTACAGATAAGACTGGAAAACCCTGGTTTAAATTGTATAAATGTAGAATTAATCATATGTAATTAACCAATTAGGCCTGTGCCTCTTATTCAGCTAATCGTGTGGAAAGTGACCACAGTGAACTGTTAAACCGAGACTTGTAAGAGGCTTAGTTAGATAACACATACGTACATTTGTGAACTCCAGCTGGTGTGGGTTTCTTCTTTTTCGGTGATGCTTATAAAAGTGATGTGTATGATAATAGCACCACCTTGTGGAGAGTCTGCCAAACATTCTGCCAAAGCTTATTTCTGACCTGCAGATACTCTGTTTATTATTCAGAACCCAAACTACTTACTAAGCTAATTCATCAAGGATGTACATTTTAATTGATATTTTTTTATTTTGATTTTTGAACTGAGTAATTGGTTTTAATCGAGTAATCATGGCAGTCCTAGAAGATACCAGGTCTGTAAGCTGAAAGGGCTGAACTGTGTCTGTGTCTCTCCAGATCGTTAAACATGGACTGTGAGAACCAGGACAAAGACAAGGATGGAAATCCCACCACCACCAGCTCCTTCAACAACAGCAACTCCAACAACAGTGAGTTCAACACATACACATAAACACACTGCAGAAATCAGACTACACCATGAGTTTGTCTTTTTTCTGTCTTTGTAAATTGTTGTGAGGATGTCTGATCAATTTTCCCCAATTTACAACAAAACTACTGAGGCACATAAGTTGTTCTCACAGTATTGTTGTGTTAAGGTTTGAGCTGCAATGAATATTCAATAACGTGATAAAAAAATCACCAACAAAAAATCAACAGATTTTGCAATCATGCTCTGTTACATTTATTACTAATTACAAAGTATAAATGAGAATATATCAACTAGCTGTCGAGAGCTGAAGGGGAAACTGTTCAGACTGTGCTGTACATAAAAGCTGACTTGGCTAAGTTACACATGAGCTCTGGAGCAGTTTTACGCAGCTTATAAACCTTCATCACTCCCTTGTTTAGAAGACAATTTGATCTCTGCTTTCCCTTTAACCTGATCAGGGTTGCCAGATGGGGCAGAATCCCCAGTTTAGCATTTTAATGCAACTTGCTACAAAAAAAAGATCAGTTCTGTTTTTCATAATTGCTTTGTAGTATTCATGCAATAGAGTACTTGAATTAACGCAATAGTACGAAGTAATAATGATTATGTATTACAATAAAATAAGTAGCAAAAAAAGTAGTAGTAGTAATAATAATAATAATAATGCTAGTAATAGTAATAATAATAATAAAAGCCACAAAATGTCAACTTAATGTAGTGTCCAAAGTGAAACTTGTTGAGCTTTTCTTCTTTGTGTAGAATATTTGAATATCCGAAGTAATATTTAATACAGTGTTCGATACTTGCAGCCCTAGTTAAGGTTTAGAACTAAAAGATGCGTTCAGTATAGCAACTGTACCTAGATCAGAAAAGATTTACAGAATGTCAAATCTCAATCAACCGAATGAATTTAGGGTTAAGTTTAGAATGACTACATAGTTAAGCGTTTCCACATTAAAACTTTACTCCGCTGAGCTGGACTATATTATTGTGGCTATTCGAAACTAGGCTGGTAAAAAACATGACAGGTATGTAGAATATATTTAACCCATACTAAATCAAAAGTATTATTATTTCAGTGAACTAATGACAAGTAAAAGTACCGTCCAAAAAATCAACTGAGCGCATAAAATCAGGGCTGTGCAAAAAACCTGGCACATTTCATGTTTTATGTATGCAGGCTAGTAGAGTTTTCATACACCAAACTTGTCAAGCCATTTCTTTATGGACTTAACTTTGTATACAGGAGCACTGGCATGCTGGAACAGGAAAAGGCCTTCTCCAAATGGCTGCCACAAAGTTGTCTTTGTATGCTGTAGCATTAACATTACCTTTCACCAGAATCAAGGGGCCCAACCCCTGAAAAACAGCCCCAGCCTCCACCAAACTTTACTGTGGATTCTTGTAGGTAGTGTTCTCCTGGCATCCTCCAATAGGATTAATCACTCCAGAAAACACATTTCCACTGCTCCAGTGGCAACATGCTTTACACCACTCCAGCCAACGCTTGGTATTGTGCATAGTGATCTTAGGCTTATGTGCAGCTGCTCAGCCATGGAAACCCATTTCATTAAAACTCTTATTGCAGTTCTTTTGCTGAAGTTACTTCCAGAGGCAGTTTGGGACTCTGTTGTGAGAGATGCAACAGAGAACAGACGGTTTTTATGCACTATGCTCCTCAGGCATAGCACAGGGGCAGGTTGACTGAGGCAGATCTAGCAGGGCAGGACTTGTAATTGTGTCCTTTTCCCCCTCCAGGTATTCAGACCATAGACTCCACGCAGGCTCTCTTCCTCCCCATTGGAGCCTCCGTCTCTCTCCTCGTCATGTTCTTCTTTTTTGACTCAGTCCAGGTGGTCTTCACCATCTGCACTGCGGGTATGCACACCACACATGCTTGACCTCTCACACTAACTCCCACACAGACCTAATTCACAGGCATTAATGTGTCATTTTGAAATAACACTGTGACATCATTTATGTATCTCTCTCTTTCCTTATCTGCAGTTCTGGCGACCATTGCATTTGCATTCCTACTCTTGCCAATGTGCCAGTATCTTACCAGGCCCTGCTCTCCACAGAACAAGTAAGGCTTGAATGTACATTTATCAGCTGTTTACCCTCAGTAGAAAGTGTAGTATCAATGTTGTATATTAAAATGATACGACAGACTTAACTATATTAGAAACACTTTAGGCAACACAGCATCTAAACACCCAGTGTTTGTTGCTTTGATCACAAAAAATAGTTTAATTCTTAAATTGAGTTGCTTGGCATTTTTCCTTATTAAAGTAAATATAGTTGCTGGATATGAGAGAGTATTATTTGAAAATTCTCAGGAAAACTATTAACACTTTACTTGAGTATTTGTAACTGATTAAGTAGAACTAGTTTACTCGTTTATTTATTAAGATAATGTAACAAAGCTTGGATGAACATCTAATGTTTTCCTTTTGTTTTATTAAATAAAAATTTTGTTGTTTTATTCACAATCCAATTAGAATTTTCTGTTAGAATTGTTAGAATTTTGTTAAAGATCAGTGGCCCATGTAACCAGAAGACTAAGTAATCTGATATATTAAATGATAACTGATGGATTTGATCAGTTTGAAACATTTCTTCAGGTTTATGCTCAGGCTCAGAGAATTAAACCAAATTAAATTTAAAATTCCAGATATGGGCATTGGTGGTTTTATTAACATTATTTAACAACTTTTTTCATTCATTCTCTGTCAGTGCAAAAGTCTAGGAACGTTAAATAAATCAAATAAGTAACAAAATTATATTTTGATCTATACTTTGCCCCTCTGTTCCAAATTAGCATGCACATTTTGATTCGCCTGTAGGCAAAATACAACATCGTAGAGTTGAGCTGTTTGAGCTGAAGTTGCAGTATTGTGTTGTTTCGAATGAAGTACACTACTGAAAAAACCTTGAATGTTTGTTTTTTTTGTGCTATACTAGTTGCTGCTGGCAATGTTGTTACGTTTTTTGCCTAATTAAACCTTTAAGATGTAAACGGTCATTCAGAGTGGTTTGGTGTGAAATGCTCTGTTCTAGAGGAACAGTCTGAATGTGTATGTTTGTGTTTGTGCAGAATTTCATTTGGATGCTGTGGGCGCTTCACTCTGGCGGAGCTTCTCTCTTTCTCACTCTCGGTGATGCTCGTCCTCATCTGGGTGCTCACAGGACACTGGCTGCTCATGGACGGTAGGTCATCACAGTGGGATTGTGTGTGTTCATGTGTTTGAGAAGAGTGTGCATTTCTGCTGGAGGCTTGGAGACAGTTCTGTGTTTTTTGTTTTTTTTTGTTTTGTTTTTTTTTTCCTTTCATAAAACCAATTCATTGAGGGCTTAATTATTAACTGATAGATGAATCTGTTGTGGATTTTTTTAAAAAATTCTTCAGAATAAAATTTCTAAAATGTAAAGTCGTTCAGAGTGGTTTGGTGTGAAATGCTTCCTTCTAGAGAATTGTTCACAGTGGTGGTAATAGGAACTAGACGTCCACCTCTAAAAGCTCCCTCACAGAAAGTTTTTACATGAAATGGTTATGAACACACAGCCTGATGTCTGAGTCCTGTTTCACACATACTACCTTTGTGACGTGAGCAATGCGTAACCTCTTGCTTTTCGTTTTGATGCTCACGTTAAGAGGTCAGCGCTTTCATGCAGGCTGCAGGAGCAGAGTGGCAGAGCATCTCAGACTGTATTTTGAGAACAGGCGAGAAGCTGTGAGGGGGAAAATAACTATGAATATCAATGAAAATAAAACAGAAGACCAAAGAAAATCTTGAAAAAATTCAAATTAATTAATTTGTGACTGTTAAGAAATATAAATATTCTGTGCTGCTTACAGATCTCCTGGTAGGTTTACTAGGCTTGATACCCTTGCCCTCAAGAATCATAATGCAGTGAAAGGCAGACAAGTATAGGGTGATCTTGTACAATTTTATTTTTTTTTATTGAGCAAAGTGACAGATTTGACTTTTATCAAATTGGAAAAAACTGTGTCTGTAGAACTTACTGCACCACTCCACAGCATGTTATATGTATGAATGGTCAGTGCTTGCTAGCTGTAGCTGTCACACTGCTGCGTTGTTCATGTCACATGTCACAGGTTGTATGAAATAGGCCCAGGATGTTGTTTTATTATATTTTTGATAATGTTTTGGCCCATTTTAACTTATTTTTTACCATAGTCAAGGCAGAAAGGTACATGCAAGGTTTTGTAAAGCAGAATGTTGCAGTTGCTATCTTTTTTATTTTTTTTATTTCAGATTAAATGCTGTTTTACCTATAAAACCAATATTACCTATACAACCGCATAGGATCATGTAGGTTCACTGGTTGTTTTGGATAATCGATTCAATGTCACGACTGGAGGTGTAACGATTATTCGACTTGGTCGACTAAAATCAACGACCAAATTAGTTGGCAATTAATTTAATAGTCAACTAGTTGAAGTCATCACGCATCTTTCTCGCACTAACTAGGAATGTTTTGACATTACCGCTTACTGGACAGTTAACAAAAGTGCGAAGGCATCCTCTTAAAAAGGCTGTCAGTTGTGCTATTTGTAAAGCTGACCTTAGCTGACACGGGAGCACATCTTCCATGTTGGAGCATCTGAGAAGGAAGCATGAAGGGAAAAAAAAAACTGACCCCTCTACAGTGAACCATTTCACATCAAACCACTCTGAATGACTCCTGTTTACATCTCAACTACTGAATTATGCAGAAAGTCCAACCTTTCAGTTCTAGTGTGTTTATCAGTGAATTAGTGTTCATTGACTCTTGTTGAACCATGTTTTAAGGTCTGAACTATGTTATAAGTTTTAATGCTGTTGTCTTTTCTGCAGCTCTGGCCATGGGTCTGTGTGTGGCTATGATTGCCTTTGTGCGTCTGCCCAGTCTGAAGGTTTCCTGCCTGCTGCTCTCTGGCCTGCTCATCTACGATGTGTTCTGGGTAAGAACAGACTAATGCGCAGCCACCTAAGAGCCAGTCAGGCTTGTGAGAAATGAGGGATTTTGTTTTGTGAAGAATGTGTGGTTTTGAAGTTTTCAGTGTGGTTGAGAAAAACTGCTAATGCTTATGCAACATTCCAGTCAAGCCAGGCAAGAGTATCATCATTTCAAGCAGCCATGTGTCATGACAATCCCACCACATTCATCATAATATTTGTGGAAATATTTCTAGATTTCGATGTCGACATTTGGGGAAATGTCAGGGTTTCAATGGCCTGAGAGAAATCCTTCTCTTTCTCTTTCAGTGCTGTCAGCTCGGAGCGCAAACGTCAGTATAAACGAGCTGAGCTCAGCACTCACCTCTCAGAAAACTTGCCACTGCTTGAAACAGCAAGGCCAGCTGATCTGTCTGCTCTAGGGCTGCGTGGAGTAGATAAAATGCAGTGGCAGTCCATGACTATTAGAGCTACACTATATGGACAAAAGTATTGGAACATACCTCTTAATTATTGAATTCAGGTGTTTCATTCTGTCCCATTGCCACAGGTGTATAAGTCAAGCACCTAGCCTTTACAAACATTTGTGAAAGAATGGGTTGCTCTAAAGAGCTCACTGAATTCGAGCGTGGTACTGTAATAGGATGCCACCATTGCAACAAGTCATCTCGCAAAGTTTCTTCCCTCCTAGATATTCCACAATCAACTGTGAGTGGGTTTACTGAAAAGTGGAAGCGTTTAGGAATCACAGCAACTCATCCACAAAGTATCAGACCACATAAAGTTACAGAGCGGGTCGCTGAGTGCTGAAGCGCATAGTGCATAAAAGTCGCCAACACTCTGCTGACTCAGTAACTGCAGAGTTCAAACCTCCTCTGGCATTAACAGTACAAAAACTGTGCCCCAGTAGCTTCATGGCATTGGTTTCCATCACCGAGCAGCTGCAGCCAAGCCTTATGTCACCAAGCACAGTGCTAAGTGTTGGATGTAGTGGTGTAAAGCACACCACCACTGGACTCTGGAGCAGTGGAAACGTATTCTGTGGACTGACGAATCATGCCCCTCTATCTGACAGTCTGATGGATGAGTCTGGGTTTGTGTAAAGTTTGGTAGAGGAGGAATGATGATATGGGGCTGTTTTTCCAGGGGTTGGCCTAGCCTCCTTAGTTCCAGTGAAGGGAAATCTTAATGCTTCAGCAGACCGAGACATTTTGGACAGTTGTGTGCTTTTAATTATGTGGAAACAGTTTGGGGAAGGTCCTTTTCTGTTCCAGCATGTCTGAGCCCCAGTACACAAAGCGAGATCCATAAAGGCATGGCTGGGTGAGTTTGGTGTGGAAGAATTTGACTGGCCCGCACAGAGCCCTGACCTCAACCCCATAAAACACCTTTAGTGTGAATTACAATGGAGATTGCAAGCCAGGCCCTCTTGTCCAATGAGATGCTGTTCTGGATTAGACAGAGTTGGTCCTTAGTAATGCCTATGGATTGAGAATGGGATGTCATAAAAGCTCCTGTAGATGTAACGTGTAGGTGTCCCTACACGTTACATCTATTCTAGATTACGATCTGTTATAGATTAAACCTGTACATTTGAAGCTTGTAAAAGACATTCTTTATAATATATTTAAAGATTGTAACAGACGTAACATATATTTTACCTTGTAGCAGTTCAGTGAGGAGTCCTGGTGTAGAGCTGCTGCAGCTGTTTTTTCTAACAGACTGAAACCTGGTTAGACTATGGCTCTTCTTGCATTCAGTGATGTATCCAGTAACTTCCAGAAGGACCAGAGTAACTGTTCTTCTCACAAAATTGGTTCTACCTATTGTAAATCAAAATCTGATTCGTTGATTTGTAGCTCCCTAATTATGCTGGTTGTTAATGTAGTGTGAAAGGCCTAACCAATGGGAGAGCTTGCTTGGCTGTATCCACAGAGAAAACATCCCGATTGGATATTAGTATTACTACAATGCTTGCAGAGTTGAAATACAGCAGACATGGTGAAAATGAACTACAAATTACACAGAAATCATTGGACCTTCTCTGAAGGCCCTAAAGGTTCTCCACTGAAAAAATAAAGTGATTGCTTGCCAGCTGTTACTATATATGATGATATATATGACGTGCAGTATACTAAAAACACATCAGCAAATGCTTGATGTGGGCTAGCTAGAGACTGGTCTGTATTATTTTGATTAAAAGTATTTGTTTGTTGGAATCCAAGAGTCCCTTGGTCAGGATGCTCACTGTATACAATAAAATGTGTAATCTGTAATGCGTAAGGCCAATACTGTGAAACTGATTACCAAACAAATTCTACAGATCTAGGTCTCATCCTCAGTGTTCAGCATACAGATTTGACCAGCATATGCATATGGTTAATAGGCTGAGCAAAAAGATTACCATCCTTAATATATTATGTGGTTATTGACACCGTATGACTGTGGAACCTGTCCATTTGTATAGATAACAGTTTCAACTGAGCAAGACTAAAATCTCCTCCTTTTATCTCCAGGTCTTCTTCTCAGCTTACATCTTCAACAGTAACGTCATGGTCAAGGTGGCCACACAGCCAGCCGATAACCCGCTGGATGTTCTCTCCCGTAAGCTGCATCTAGGTGCCGGGATGGGCCGAGACGTGCCCCGCCTCTCCCTGCCTGGTAAACTGGTTTTCCCCAGTTCCACGGGCAGTCACTTCTCCATGTTGGGCATTGGGGACATCGTCATGCCCGGCCTGCTGCTCTGCTTTGTGCTCCGCTACGATAACTATAAGAAGCAGGCCAGTGGGGAGGCACCCGGACCGGCTAACATGTCTGGCCGCATGCAACGAGTTTCATACTTCCACTGCACCCTCATTGGATATTTTGTGGGTAAGTGAACAGGGCAGCTAGTTGCCATCGGATTTGATACTGTAGACACTGCATCGTCAGGGCCGGATTAAGCCATTTTGTGGCTATGAAGCATCTGAGACGCCGTAAGATTTTACGTATGCTATGTAAAAATGATGATCATGTACAGGCTTGCCACCTGTAATGAGCTGACTGAAGGGAGGTTATCAATTTTGTATGCACCTCTGAGGAGCCATTGTTACAGTACTTACAACACTGTTTTGAACCACCGCTCACAGTCAGTAGCATGTAAAATCTTAGGTCTAAAACCAGTCCTTAGGGACCCCCAGCTGGACCACTTTTTCTTCAACCCTCCAAACGCAGCCATTAAACACAAAAAACATGTACAGGTCTGTTGTGAGTTGGATTAGGGTAAATTATATTCTTTATTCTTACAAGCAGTTTTCTCAGTAACCTTCTCCAGCAGCTCCTAAGAAGCCGATTTTAAACCAGGAACAATGCAGCATGAACACGAACCGATAACTAAGGGTGGGAATCACCAAAGCTACCTGATGCTGAAATGACACCCATTTAGAGTATATCTGAGAGTGCACTGACTGACTTTCAGTTACATTAAAGTTAAATTCATCTAAAAAACAAGATAAATTGAGTGCTGCCTTACCAAGACGTACTCTTGTATGATAACTGTTTACCTGCAGCTCATACAGGTCAGCTGAGCTGTTCGTTAAAATAATCAGTTTTCCTATTGAGACGTTTTGACAGACAACTTCTTGTTAGTTTGTTTGCCAGCCAAATAGCAGGGTTTCTGTTTCAAATTATGTCCGCAGAGTTCTCACAGTTCTTTAAAAAGTCAAATGTTTTTAATTATAGGTTTTACATCCTAAAATGATGGCAAAGAATGGATTGACAAGTCATCTTGATCAACTACATTTGGGTTGAGGAGCAAACTGAGTAATTTAGAGTTTTGGCCGAACTCTTTTTAAAGTAAGTGTTGGCATCAGTGTGTTAAATTTCTCTCTCTCTCTCTCTGTCTCTCTCTCTCTCTCTCTCTCTCTCTCTCTGTCTCTCTCTCTGTCTCTGTCTCTCTCTCTCTCTCTCTCTCTCAGGTCTGCTGACGGCGACTGTGGCCTCTCGGATTCACCGCGCAGCTCAGCCAGCTCTGCTGTACCTGGTGCCCTTTACCCTGTTGCCTCTGCTCACCATGGCCTATCTGAAGGTGAGAGTCATTAACATCTGCCCTGTGAAGGTTAACTGACCATGCTAAGAGCCTCCAGCTCACACAGGAACAGAACTGAGCTTTTAGTCATGTTGGGTGGTGATATCCTACATTAAAACCACATTTGTTGTACCTAACAAAGATAAGATTGATTGGCAGAGAAATTCTTGTTTTTTCTTTTCTTTTTTTTTTTCAGTCGTTCGAATTACGTTAGGCAGAGATATTCAGATCGACACAAATATAGACATTGTATTTACTATCCAAAACCACCAGTGAACCTACATGTGTCTTCTCAGTTTCCATATGGAATTCTGTTTGGAACTAATTTAAAATAGATTTGAAGAATACTAAAAAACAAAGCACCAAAATAAAAGGTTAATAAGGTAATGAAAGGTTTATTTTTAAACATGACAGTGTTTTTACCACCTATATTTCAGTACCCCTGTAGTGACCCTGTATATTCAGGGTCAAATGCAGTCGAATCATCATTAAATTTGAGCCTTTGTGAGACATTGAAACATTTCCTGAAGAATTGTCATGGAATTGAATTGATGTGAGGTCAGAGACTGACACACCAGAATTATCAGTGAGACATTCTCTTTCTACCTTGAATGTTGTCTAGTTTTCTTTGGCTACATTCACACAGCAGGTAAAAGTGGCCCAAATCCAGTCTTTTTCCTCATATTACGTTTGTGTTGCAATGTGAACAAACACATTTTAAATTCTGATTTGTGGCACTTTCATATATGCTACTGAAATCCAATCCGTATCCGATGTGCGGCAGTGCGACTCAGTCTGAACAGCCACATCAGAGTTCATGTGACTTTTACGTCAATTACACTCGACATTCATCATAATTTTGCACTCTTGAGACCTCATAAACATTTGAGGTATATATTTCTGTACAAAAAATGTAGTGACTTTTCCAAAACTCCGTGTTCAAAGAGATTTCGAAAGAAATGGCCAAACGCAGCCATCGGAGTATGAGGCTGCAGCTTCAAAGAACAGTTAAAAGTCTGAAAGTAAAGTTTAAAGAATCCAAGGACATGAACCAAAGAAGTGACCGTGACCTTTTATGCCAAGGTCAAACACATTCTGGGTGATGAGCCCAGCAGTCAGTCAATGAAGCTTCGTGATCGCTCCTGTGATGCTGGTGAAGATGAGACTAAACCTCCGGGAGCGACTGGCATTTGTTGGCAGTCATGATTGTTTACCTCTGGTGAAGCATTGTTCTTTTACACGTGCGGATCAGTTTAGGAGTGTGACCTGTTCAGGCTGATATTGCATACAGGTCACATTTAACCCTTGTGTGGTGTTCATGCTTTTCTTACTCAGTGGTCTGGTGGACCCACCGCCGTATTGTTTAAAATGAGGGTTAAAAAAATATTGTGAACAGCCAAACAGAAAAATTGGATTTGGTGAGGAAAATCAGATTTAGGCCACTTTTACCCACTGTGTGAACATAGCCTTTGAGAATGAAAACTGAAACAGGATTTGGAATCTTATTGTTATTATTAATAATTCTTTTTTTTTTACTTTTTTTTGTCTGTTTTCTCAGGGGGACCTGCGGCGCATGTGGTCCGAGCCCTTCCACGCCAAGTCCAGCAGTTCCCGATTCCTAGAAGTATGATGCCCCCCATCCCGCCTCTCTACAGGTCAGCAAACAGGCAGCCTTCAGCTCACCCCACCCCAGAGAAAGAAAGAGAGAGAGAGAGCATGGAAGAGAGTAGCCACACTCGCCTTCTTCTCACCATCTTTTCTGACGTTCTTATGAAGAGTTCATGGACTTCACTGCCAGATGGATTCTACTTTTTCACTTTATTTTCCATTCATTTTCTCTGTCAGATTTTCCGTTTACTGTACTCTTCTCCTCTGTTACATCACTCTTCTCTACCTCCTATTTCTTTACTCATTCCATTTTATTCTGTCTTTCCTCTCCCTCTCTCTCCCTCTCTCATGCTCTCTCTTTCTCTCTCATATTTTCCCCCATTCGTCCCTGTTGGACTTAAAGGCCACTCCTTACTGGACGTGTTTATGGGACACAACTGGTGCTCTTTGAGCCCTGGGTGATTTATTTTTTTCTTTTTCTTCCCTCCTCCCCTATTTGGCATCATTATGGATCTACGGACTGCAAGAATTATGTTGGTGTGTTCATTTTTTTTTTCTTGAACCATGGACAAGAATGCTGAGAATTTTCTCAGCTCAGAACAGTGATGACCCCAATAGGGACCAGCACACAAGGCCACAGACGCTCCTTCACTTTTTCTTCCCTTCCTCTTTTTCCTATAATGTCCCTCCATCCACTGCCCCCCCTGGGCTTTCTCCCATTTAAAAGAAAGAAAGAACACCCCGTCCCTTCCCAGGGTCCCTCCTCTTTGCAGATACATGTATTTTATTTAGAAAGATTTTATTCTTGGCATATACAGAAATGATACGTTATAAAATTTGAGTGTGCTCTTGCCTTTTGGATGGGCACATAGCTCTATGTATATATGTGTACACATGTATTAGGGTTATCATGTTGGGTGCAAGCGTGTGTGTGTGCGTGAACAGTTTTGAAATGTGCGTGAATGAGTGGTTTCTTTTTTGTGGAGGAATTGTGTTGGGGTTTTTTTTCTCCCCTCGCCCTTTGTTGTTTTTAGATGCGATTGTAGTCGGGTGGAATGTTTTCATGTGGCCTGCAGGGGTTGATAGGAATGCAGTTTTCTTTTTTTCCCTCCTACTCGGGTTTGTACGAGCTCAAAGCTTTGTTCAGTCGCTCTGAAAGTCAGTCAGTCGCACTTTTATTCTGGCCTTTAGTGCACTTTCCCTTCTACAAGGCACAGCTTACTTACAGGAAAGAAATGAATAGTGGCACACTTTCAGAGCCAGCATACAGACAGGGGCTTCAGTCCTGAAGAAAAAGTAAGTGTGCGTGAGTCGTGAATGTGTGTGTGTGCTTTATTGTATGGCATTACATCTGTTAAGTGGTTTTGGACCATTCAGAAGATGGTTTTTATAGATGTTTAAAGAAAAACTCCAACCTAATCTCTATCTGTTGACTCTAAAAATAGGATCCAGTGAGCTCTTTCTGCTGCAGCTGCCCATTTGTTTCTGAGTTCTTGTATTGTAAGAGTGCTGACTCATGAGTCAGGTAAGGGCGAGTCAGAAAAGGGTGAGTTTCAGGTCGGAAGTCGCGAGTCAGTTCGTGTCTCGATTCGGATTTTAACTCGCAACTCAGGCTCGCCCTTAAACGACTTGCGACTCGAGACTTAAGATTCATTCATCTAAATGTGGTGATATGACAAAAGATGTTTTGATACTCCAAGAAGTTTTCACGACTCACAACGTCACAATGTGTATTTTGACTGTCATCTGAGGAACTGGGAAAGACAAAGTAGTGCCTCAAAAAATATAAATACAATCAAAAACTATGAATAAAGTCGTTTATGTTCAGCATTTTACATATTGCGCTGCACTAAAACAGGTCTTAATATGCTCTTTTTGCAATGAAACATGCACTTTTTATGTTTAAGATATCTATGATACTCTCAGAAAAGCATGTTGTGACGATGTCATGTAATTTATCACAATAACGATAAATATTGTCATATTGCCCAGCCCTACTTTAGCCTGATGGGAGGGCGGGGGAACAAAACTGATTAAATTTGGACCACCAACCAGAACTAGACAAAATTTTCTTTTTAAAAGCCTAATTTAATTAAGAAATTGTGATCAGAATAATTCATATTCATCATATACACATTGCATGTACAATTAACAGTCTTGCTCAGTGCTGAAAGCCAGTCAAATTGTGCTTTGAAAAAGAAAATAATTATTAGAAATTTTACACTAATGAGAATATTGCTGTTCCTTCCTGTCAAGTCAGCTTGCAGTGACATCGTCCACTCTATTATGTCTTTAGGTGCTGTTCAGCTACTGCAGTAAGAGTCTCTCAGTGCAGTGCCAGCTTATTTAAAACCTTATTTTACAGAGTAATATTAGCAAACTTCCACCAATTGATCAGCACGGTCACCACATCACGTTAGCTATTGCAGTTAGAGTTAACAAATTCTGACAGAATCTGATTGTTGAAATTACTTCCAACCGAATAGTCACTCTTAAAGATGCTGGTTCAAGGGTTCTTTAGCAAAGGAAATGGTTCTGTACAGAACTTTGAACACTCAAAGAACTCCTTGCATGATTAAAGGGTTCTTTGCATCATGAAGGTGTTCTTCCGATTGATGCAGAATGTGCTGTAGATGGTAGATAGAACCTATTGAAAAGGGTTCTATATAGCATCCAGAAAGGGTTCTTCCATTGTTATGTCAGGCTTGTTACAATGGCAGAACTCTTTTGGTGCTTTGTTGGGGTTGTACACAGTTAGGATTACTAAATACAAAGTGTCATAAATCAAATATAAAGTAATCCATTACTTCAAGCTTGTAACAAAAAAAAACCCTTTTGGGTGCTGTGTAGAACCCTTTTCAAAAAGGTTCTGTATAGAACCATCTGTAGCACATTCATGCACATTTTTCCATCCACCTGCAAGGAGTTCTTTGAGTGTTCATGGTTTTCAATACAGCCATTTTTTTTTATAAAGAACCCTTGAACCATTTTTTTTACGAGTGTAGCTGTTTTAGTAAGTTACAGATCACTCCTTTAAAAAAATCTAGCATAGTTTCTATACAAACTAACCAACCATATCAAGTAGTTTTGCCTCTCGTTTAAACACCATGTTTCTTGTGTGTAGCGTCTCAGCTTTGTCCCTCAGACTGGAGAGTTACCTCGTTATTTGAAGCCGTGGAGAACTTTTGCACAGTGCTGTGCTTTCAGTTAATAACCGGACTAAACTACATTTCTGCTAAAGACTCAGACACACATGAAACAACTCGTGAACGTCTCGTCATAAGGTTTTCAGTTCTTTTCTAAAGCGCCCTTCGAGCATCTGTTAGTCTCAGCTGTACTTTAAGTGATTACTGAGGAGATCTGTGATTTTTAAACCAGTACGAAGCTGCAGTGTCTCTAGGTGTTACAGTTTTTCTGGTACGTAATTATTGTGGAGCAAATTACCTTCTATAATTCTTTGAACCTGGAGCTCCCTCTGTAATCATAGTCCTGTTCGAACTGGCATCACAGCATTGTAATAGCAAAACCAGCTAACAGAAAAGGTGGCGCCTCTATTGTCCTTTTTAGTGACATGAAGACCAGGCTAACTGCTAAAATTGGGCTGATTTTGACCCAGTTAATCCTGAAGTTCATGAAGTGGGAGTTAACCCCTCATTGAAATGAAAAGCTCTCTCGTCCAGTGTTGCGTTTTGGGTTTTTTTTTCCCTTCCATATTTGCTATGTACAGTATGTAATTGTTTGAAAGCTGATGCCTGTCGCATAACAGTGATGTTAACGTCCACCCAGTGGCGTTTCAGTCTGGACTCTTTGGGGTAACTCAACGAAATTACACAGATCCTTTGTCTCATATAAAATAGACAGTCAAATCACACAGATTCCGTTACGGACCTCTTTGAACTAATCCAACCCGAGTAGGGCTTCGCGAAAACCTGTTGAAATGTTTGTCCATGGTAATCGATCATTTGCTATAGCTGCGGCAGATAGAGATTAGAAAAATGTTGGAGTGTTCCTTTAAGAGCAGGTTTCTGGACCCCAGAGATGTAAATGTGCTTTGTTTTTGTCCATTTTGTCTCAGTTAACCATTTTCTTGCCGGTCGTTCTTCCCAGACTGTTGCATCCATTGCTATTACGAGACTGGAATAGAAAGGTGAGTGTGAGAGAGAATGCGTTTTGCAGATTTGTTTATCTGAAGTCCTTTTATTTTTAACCCTGTTACTATTCTTTTTTTATTCTGTGAGTTGTCTGGCCTTGCATGTGAAGTGTATAGTGTGTTATTCTTCACACTGCGTTTCCGGAGCAACCACAGCAGTGTGACAACTCTGGAACACCGGTGACGCAGACGCAGGGTCGAAAGAATGAACGGTCGCACAAATGAAACACAAAATAAATAAACAGACAAAGAAAAGAAAAGGAGAGGACACGATGGTCAGAAAGTATCAGGACTGTTCGGCCCCGGCTCTCGCACAAAGGCGCAAGGACCTGAACACAGCCGGAGAAACGCTGCCTCAGCGTTCGGCCTGGCTGTTCTCGTCCGGCTGCAGGACACTAGACAGCCCGGAGCATTACGGACATCGGTTTGCCCACAATTCCCTCTCATCGTCCCTCGCCAGCCACCCTAACGGACATTACGAGAAAAGAGAATAAAACATGAGTCGAGGATTACGGTGATTGCATTAAAAATAAAATTCTTTTTTATGGCAGATTCTAACTTTTTTTTTCTGTTTTATCCCCGTCTTTGTATTTTTTTTTCACTTTTCTTAGTGCTGTAGATTTATTTTATACTTTTTTGTGTTTGGTTTTTTTTTCTCTCCCCTTCTCCTTTTTTCTCTCCCTGTGACCTCCCTGCCAGCAGAGGGGGCGAAGCTCCGCGCTCTGTTGGTGTGTTCACAAATGACAGCCAAAAGGATTCTGTATAAACGTCGAGTAAAACTAAATTAAGAACTGTGTAGTGAAAACATGGATCCTGACAAGCTGTACCTTCAACATTTCATCTCCTTTAACCTCCCCTCCCCTCCATTCAGTCAGGATTCTGCTGTAAATAAACGTGACTCTAACTGTAAACTGACTGGTTACTAACCACACACACACACACACACACACACACAGAGACAGAGACGCACGCACGCGCGTATATCCTTCCCAATTTCTTCTGTTTTTGCATATTTGTCACACAAGAATGTTTCAGATCAATCTCCTTTTAATATTAGACAAAGATGACTAAACATAAAATGCTTATTTTTATTTTTAAATTTTATTTATTAAAGGTAAAAAGCTGTTCAACCCTATGGGAAAATATAATTGCCCCTTAGCTACTAAACAGAATCTGGCAATGTGAAGCAGCTAGAAGGTCTCAAAAGCAGCACATGATGCCACCTTGTAAAGAGATTCAGATACAGATGTGAAACAAAGTAATTGAAATCTGCCCGTCTGGAAAGGGTTATTAAGCCATTGCTGAGGCTCTGGGACTCCAGTGAACCACAAAGGGAGCCTTTATCCACAAATAAAGAAATCTTGAAACAGTGGTGAACCTTCACAGGAGTGGCTGGCCTTCCAAAATTTCACCAAGAGTGCATCAACAGCTCTTAAGAACCTGTTTGATTGCTCCTGTTCCTGCCAAGAGTGGAGGAACCAGTTATTAGGTTTGGGGGTCCATTACTTTTTCACATGGGTGATATAGGTTTTGAATAAAATCTTTATCTTCGATAAATGGAATGATCATTTAAAAGCTGC